CTGAGCTCCTGCTTACTATCAGGTGCTGGCAGCCTGTGTTGCCCAATTCCCAGCCTAGGGTATATGGATGGAATTTTGGTGGGGTTTGGGCTTCTCTTGTCCTGGGCCTCCAGGTCTTTTGTTGTCACAGGCGTGCTTCCCGGGGAGTGTTGCTTCCTGGTTTTCTCCCCTCTGTTGAGGCGTATGCTCAGCTTTTTACTTCAGTTGTGAGGAGTTGGTTGTGTTGTTCAGGCACCGGATCCCTGGGCCTGGTTCCGGCCCCAGCCTGGGGTGCGCTCCTTAGGCCTGTGCTGATGTGTATACCACCTAGGTTATGCAGCCTGGGAGACACAGTTCAAATTTCTTCTATTGTTGGTAGTCTTGACCCAGGGGCGCTGTTCCTGGCTTGGGCATTTAAGCTCCCTTCCAGGGGCACTCTTGCTCTGGCTTGGCCAGCAGAGTGTGCTCCACGGGCTGGTGGAGCTCTCGAACAGTTCCCAGTTTTAGTGGGTCCTGTGGTCCGGGTGTTGGGGTAGGGCGTCTAGGTCAGGGTCTGCGGATTCCCTCCAGCTCTGGTCTCCCTTGAGGGATACACTGTCCCCTGTGGGGTACTCACCCTGGAGCTGGTTGTTTTTGAGTGGTGTAGGTCGTCAGTTGTTGTTGCAATCCGAGTTCAGTTGTGGTGGTTGCAGGCTGGGTTGGGCGGTGGTGGCTCTGTGTGATTCTTTTCTGTCTCTGCCTCTGTCGAAGCTGTCGGGTCAAAAGTGTCCACGCTCAGGCGGCTTCTTCACGGGTTGTGATCTGCAGGCAGCCCCCTGTGCCTCTGGGGCCTGGGCGGCCCCACAGGGTCATTGTGATCGCGATCGGGTGGGTGGTCTGCCGACAGGTCCCTTTGTCGTGCTGCTGGTGCCTAGCGGCTTTGGCGGGATGGAGCCTCTCTGCTCTGGTGGAGAGTGAGGGGTGGGGGGCGGTATCCTCGTGGAGACTCCCGGCTGGTAGGTTTCTCTGTTCCTGGCGATCCGATCCGCTGTTCTGCAAACCGGTACCTGGTGATCTGCAAGCAGCCCCCTGTGACTCTGGGGCTCCGGCAGCCCCCGCCGAGCCGGCTGGCCGGCGGCTTGGCGCACTGCCGCGCGGCCAGTAAAGGTTGGGGGAGGGGTCTTTGCTTTTCTCTGTTCTGAAATTCTTCTTTTCCTCTTTTTATGTTATTTTCCGCCTCTGGTTTTTCTGAGTGTTCGTCTTTTTGTTGTTGTCAGTCTCTTGGGGAGATTAAGTGTTGGAACTTGAACTCTCTTTTTGGTTGGAGAGAGCTGTGGCGTTTCCCTACTGCTCCGTCGCCATCTTGGTTCCCCCCTCCCAGTTGCTATTTTTGAGCAAATGAGAAGGCTCTGCAAAGGCTGCTGGCTACTAGCAAGTGCCCTGCCTCTTGGCTGAGGAACCAACAGATCTGATGTTACTTCAAGTGTTTGTGGCAGAGAAGCCCTGGGGCCCCTCTGGTTCAACTGCAGTGTGAGCCCTTAGACGTTTAAAGCAGGGGCTGGGAAAGTGGCTCAGTGGTAGAGTACTTGCCTTGCATGCATGAGGCCTTGGGTTTGATTCCTCAGCACCACATAAGCAGAAAAGGCTGGAAGTGGCGCTGTGGCTCAAGTGGTAGAGCGCTAGCCTTGAGCTGAAGAGCTGAGGACAGCACCCAGGCCCAGAGTTCAGGCCCACGACCAGACCGAAGTTTAAAGCAAAGTCTTACTATCCCTTGTAGTTAACCATTCTTCTTTTAAGAGACAAACAGTTCTTTGCCACTGGGTGTTAAAGAAGGCTAGATGCTTAACTATAGTTATATCAAGTTACTATGAAATCACAGTTGCCACTCATTTCTTTGGGAGAGTTGAAATTTGTGGCTATGACTCAACTATGAGTAGTATCTCCCTTAAGTCTTCAAAGTATCCCATTTCAATCAATAGACCAAATGGACCTAACAGGTTTAACTGTCCTGTTAGTACAGGAGTGGTTTCTCTCTCTAGACTAGAAGGTTACTTGAAATGAAGTATCACACCTTTCTTTCAATAAATATCTATCAAGCATCTAAAATGTGCTACATTTACCTGTGTATCTGTGTGCTGTGTTTTGGATAAGAAAGGAGGGTATGTCAGATCCTCTCAAAAGCTGGGTCAGTTTGAAGACTGATGAAAAGGAAAGCTGGAACCCAGTGAAAGCTGTTTTCCTGTTGGTTTACTATAGAAGCAGCACAAAGCACTAAGGATATGTATCTCTAAAAACACTTGGTGTTAGGTGGGGCTGGGTACAGTGCAGCTCAGAAACAAAGTAAGTGTAGTGTATGCCACGGGCTCCAGGTTCCACCTCCAGCACCAAAAAAACAAACAAAACAAAGCAAATGCCAGGTGTTAGTGGCTCACACTGTAATTCTTGGCTTAGATCTGAGGATTGTGATTTGAAGTCAGCCCAGGAAAGGAAAGTCTGAGACTCATCTCAAATTAACTTCCAAAAAAGCTAGAAGTAGAGCTGTGACCCGAGTGGTAGAATGCTAGCCTTGAGCAAAAGAAGCTCAGTGTTAGTGCCTAGGCCCTGAGGTCAACCCCCAGAACAGGCACATGCACAAAGAAAGAATTCAGTAGCACTGTGTAACTAATGAATGCCTCAGAAAAACCTAAGGCCAGGCTCAGTGCAACACAGCTGTTATCCCTGCTACTCAGGAGACAGTTTGAGTAAAAAATAGCCAGACCCTATCACAAAAAACAAGCTGGAGATAGTGGTGAGCGCATGTGGTCCCAGCTACATGGAAAGCAGAGGATAGGAGGATTATGGTGTCAGGCTACCCTGGATCTGGGCAAGACCTTATTCTGCAAAGCTAACTAACAGCAAAAGAACCAGGATATGTGTTTCAGTGGCAGAGTACTAGCCTAGCAAGTTTCAGGCTCTGACATTAAACCCCTATTGTAGCAGAAAATAACAAGAACAAGCAAACTTTAGCTTATCTACTTGATAATCAAGACAGTAGAAATATAATGCTAAAAGTGACTTCTAGGCTGTTGTTCCAACTCAACCATTAATCTGCTAAATGTTTCTTTGATATCTCTATTTAATATTTTTAATGAACATCTCTTTCTCTTCCACAAGGATTGGTATCCGCTCTTCAGTGTAAGAAATAAAACTGGTGCCAACTGAATTCATATTGAATTTTTTATAAGAAGAAAAGACTATAATTTTCAAATGTTTGGGATAATTTTCAGGGGAAAATAAAAGAACAAAAACCAAATACAAGTATTAAAAGTATTCATTGAACTATAAACTCTTAGCAGAGAAACAGACTTCAGAAATGGTTGAGTCTACCTCCTGAAAGTGGGACTCTTACTGAACTGGCCTCAAGTCTTTCCTAAATTTGATGTACTTTATCTCATAAAAATAATTTTAAAAAATAACAATCATTAAAGTCATTGAAAACAAAAGAAAGAATATAACTGGGCAATTAGAGAAAGGTCACATCCTTGAAACAGATTTGCAATATGCAAAGCACAGTGCTGGCTTCAAAAAACATAATAAACAAAGAATGTGCATTAAAATATTTATGTATCAAGAGCTTCCATCATTTTCAACTTGAAAAACTAGCAGGCTGGGCTGGGGGTGTAGGTTCATGACTGTAATTCCAGTACTCAAGATACCAGGACATACACAGGCAACAATCAATGGCTTTCTCCTGTAATCCTAGTTACTAAGGAGTCTGAGACCTGAAGGATCAATGTTCAACTCAGCTAAGGCATAAAAGTCCTCAACACTCGATCTCCAATTAACCACCAAAAAGCGGCCTAGAGTCATAGCTCAAATGGTAGAAAGCCAGCTGAGTGAGCTGAACGAGCACAAGGCTCTGAGTTTAAGCCCCAGTGGGAAGGTAGAGGGAAGCCAAGATAGGAGGACTGAGTCTGAAACCAGCCTGGCTAGATCAGGAAACTCCGTCTAAAAAACCAGCAAGCTACAGTCATACAAATACATACATTAACTTCATTGTGCTTCATACTATTACATTGTGCTTCATATTATTATTGTGACATATAAATCAAATGAAAATCAACCCTACATTAACAAAAAAATATTCTGATCACATAAATATGTTCCATTCTTTACTAAAAATTTCCACTGTCAGAAGATCCTGATTGAAATAAAGGAATATATAAAACTGGAACAGGAAGCAAAGAGGATCATTTGGTTCATCTCAGAAGTTTACTGGTCCAGCTGAGAGCCATGTAAGTCTCTGGGTTCTCAACGGAGTGTGACCAGTTCTTCTGAAGAGGTAGGATGGATGGCAACCGTGTTGTCGAAGTCGGCCTTTGTTGCTCCCATTTTTACTGCCACAGCAAAGCCCTGCAGCATTTCATCACACCCAATTCCCTGCATATGGATCCCAACCACCTGGGGAAAAAGAAAGTGGCATTTTACTAGGTACACAGCCATGGGAGATAGGACATTGGACAAATAAATGCCTAAGGCTGGGGTTGATAAGAGTACTTGTCTAGCATGTGCAAGGCCCTTCAACTATGTAACTTGAGAGGAGGGACCAGAGGGGAGAAATAGGGGAAAACAAAGGAAGAGTGACACTGACCAAGACACATTGTACTGATAACCCAACTTAGGGATTGTAACCAACTACTTAATAATAATGAATAAATATTCTATAATATTTCTAATCCCAATCCAATGTAACTAAGCCTATTGGCTCTGAGCATTCTTGCCTTGTTTCCTCCTGCCTTCTCCAGTCATATTATAGAACTATACAATATCCAAAATAAATGTTTATGTTAAATTTAAAATGTCTTATATTAGGGTTGGTTGGCAAGGAGTAGAATACCTGTCTAGGAAGTGTGAGGTTCTATTTTAAACCCAATATTGAGGCACCAATGGATCATGCCCATAATCCCAGCTACTCAGGAGGCTGATGGTTCAAAGCCAGCCCAGTCAGGAAAGTTCATAAGACTCTGTCTCCAATTAACTACTAACAAATCATTAGTGGAGCTATGGCTCAAGTTGTAAAGTGCTAGCCTTGAGTACAAAAACTCAGGGACAGTGTCCAAGCACCAAGTTCAAGCCCCAGGACTGTCACAAAAAAAAGTGTAGGTGTTTCTAAATAAAAATATCATGAACTCCAAAAGACATAAAAGACAGAAGTTCACCCATACCTTTTCTTCTTTGTTAGCACAAACCATTTTCATCACACATTTTGTTTTCCTTGTGGTCACTGCGTGGTACATTGGGGTAAAGGTGGTGGAGTAGATTTTCACATTGTCTTTTCCATATTTATGAACAGCCTCATCTATAACATATATTAAAAAACATCTTTCAAGCCAGGTATCAATGGCTCACGCCTATAATCCTAGCTACTCAGGAGGCTGAAATTTGAGGATTGCAGTTTCACAGAATCTATGAGACTCTTATCTCCAATTAACCAGCAAAAGAAAAACAAAACAAAAACCTTGGAAGTACAGCTGTGGCTCAAGGGGAAGAGCCCTAGACTTGAGCAAAAAAAAGGACAGAGCTGGGAATGAGGTTTAGTGTTAGAGTGCTTGCCTAGCACGAATGAAGCCCTTGGTTCAATTCCTCAGTACCACATAAACAGAAAAAGCTGGGAGTAGTGCTGTGGCTCAAGTGGTAGAGTGCTAGCCTTGAGCAAAAGAAGCTCAGGGCCACTGGCCAGGCCCTGATTTCAAGCCCCAGGACTGACCCTCCCCACCCCCCAAAAAAATACATAAACGCTGGACTAAATTCTAGACGTGAGGAAAAATTATTGAAAATTACGTTTGTGATACTTGGCACAATTTGCGTAAGGTCTAAAGTTCAAGATAATATTGTTATCTTCAAAACTGCATTCTACTGATATATGGAAACAATTTTGTTCTTTGTGTGTGTGTGTGTGCTGGTCTTGAGGCTGGGCCTTAGCACTGTCCCTGAGCTTCTTTTGCTCAAGGCTAGCGCTCTACCACTTGAGCCACAATGCCACTTCCAACTTTTTCTTTTTTTTTTAATTTTAATTTTTTGTGAACATACTGTACAGAGGGGACTTCCAACTTTTTCTGTGATTTAATTGGAGATAAGAATCTCACTGGGGCTGGGAAGGTGGCTCAGTGGTAGAGTGCTTGCCTCACATGCATGAGGCCCTGGGTTCAATTCCTCAGTACCACATAAGCAGAAAAAGGTGGAAGTGGTGCTGTGGCTCAAGTGGTAGAGTGCTAGCCTTGAGCTGAAGAGCCCAGGCCCAGAGTCCAAGCCCATGACCACCACCACCAACAACAAAGAATCTCACAGACTTTCCTGCCTGGGCTGGCTTTGAATATCAATCCTCAGATCTCAGCCTCCTGAGCAGCTAGGATTATAAGCATGAACCACCAGTGCACAACTAGCAGTTTTGTTCTTCAAAAATGTATACTCAAGCCAGGTGCCTGTGGCTCATGCCTGTAATCCTAGCTACTCAGGAGGCTGAGATTGTGGTTTGAAGCCATCCCAGGCAGAAATGTCCTGTGGGACTCTTATCTCCAATTAACCACTCAAAAACTGGGACTGGTGATGAGGCTCAAGTGGTAGAGGGCTAGCCTTGAGTATAAAGAAGCCCAAGGACAACGTCCAAGCCCTGAGTTCAAGTCCTGCAATGGATTCCTGCCCCCCTCAAAAAAAAGGATACTGTGTGTGTGTTTGATTACTGGACAAATAACAAAGCAAAAATATTAAAGCTCTATGAGAATACCCTGTACTCTTTGTAGCTTTGAAAGTAGTTTAAATTAAAAAACAAATAGGTATAGCAGCTCACATTTATAATCAATCAGAGAGGCTAAGATCTGAGAACTGAGGTTCAAAGCCAGCCACGGCAGACAAACTGGAAAGTATCTTATCTCCAATTATCCAGCAAAAAGCTGGAGATGGAAGTGTGGTTCAAATGGTAGAGAGCCAGCCTTGAGCAAAAAAGCTAAAGCAGGGCTGGCACAGTGGTAGAGTGCTTGCCATGCATGCATGAGGCCTTGGCTTCAATTCCTCAGCACCACATAAGCAGAAAAAGCTGGAAATGGCACTGTGGCTCAAGTGGTAGAGCCTTGAGCTGAATTGCTGAGGGACAGCACCCAGGCCCAGAGGTCAGGCCTCACGACCGAACCAAAAAAAAAAAGCTATAGCAAAAGTATGAAGACCCGAGTTCGTCCTAGCATAGCAACAGCAACAACAACAAAAAGCTTAAAAATTAGAATTAGAGGATAAACAAGGTTGTAGAAGAAAAACAAACAGTGCTCACAAAAGTATTGCAGCTGGGGAAATAAGTAAATTGTAACTGATTAGAAAATATCAAATAAAAATAGTTACTTTAAGGGAGACTGAGATAAATTTAATGCATGGTTGAGACTTAAAAGAAGCCAGCCATGAATGACCTTCACCTGCAAACTTACCTTCTGTGAGTCCCACTGTCCCAATAGGAGGGTGGCTGAAGACCACAGTGGGGATGTTGTCATAGTTTAATTTGGAATCTTCTTTGCATTCAAAAAGCCTATGGGCAAGTTTTCGGCCAGCAGCTATTGCAACTGCAAAGATATATTAAAATCAGTGTTTATCTTATTTTTCTTTCTTTTTTGCCAGTCCTGTGACTTGAATTCAGGCCCTGGGCACTGTCCCTGAGCCACTATGTCCTCAAGGATAGCACTCTACCACTTGAGCCACAGAGCCGCTTCTGGCCTTTTCTGAGTAATTAATTATAGATAAGAGTCTCATGGGCTTTCTTGCCTGGGCTGGTTTCAAACTGGTAATCCTTAGATCTCAACTTCCTAAGGAGCTAGGATTATAGGCGTGAGCCACCAGTGCCTCGTTTATTGTTCATTTTAACAGGAGAATTGTCCCATTAACCATTTATATGGCTTTGTGCACTAGTACTGGCAAAAGTTTCATGTCAATGCTAATTTGAACTTTGTGAATCCTGACCATTCTATTACAAAAGAGACACTTGGAAATTTAATAAGAATATTAGTTTTCAGAGAAAATATGGAACAAATTATATTAGTTTTGTACATTTTCTCTTTTACCTTACAATTACATTTATTTTATAGTACAACTTCAAAACCAAAAATTTACTCTCCCTTAGCTAGTTTTTATTCTTAACAGTCTGCAAAAGAATTCCTGCTTCAGTAAAAAAAAAAATATTCATTTTATCAGTTACCAGTAAGATATAGAGGAAATTTCTTCTACCTTCACAGAATTTTCAATGATTGTGCTATGAAGTCCTACAACTTTTATCAGGGGCTGGGAAGGTGGCTCAGTGGTAGAGTGCTTGCCTTGCCTGTATGAGGCCCTGGGTTCGATTCCTCAGCACCACATAAGCAGAAAAAGCTGGAAGTAGCACTGTGGCTCAAGTAGTAGAGCACTAACTTTGAGCTGAAGAGCTGAGGAACAGTGCCCAGGCCCAGAGTTCAAACCCTATGACCAATAAAAAAATAAAAAAAGTAATTTCAATTAGTACAAATAAATTCAAGAGATCTATTGTACAAACAGTGACTCTTGCTAGTAACAATGTATTGTCTACCTAATATTTTTAAGACTAAGTGGTCGTGTCAACAAAAAGTCTGAGGTAGCATATAAGCTAATTAATTAAACTTAGTCCTCAACAAAATATCATGTTGTTCAATATAAATACATGTAATTTTTATTTAACTTAAATATAAGCCAGGCATGCTGGTGTATGCTTTTAATCCCAGCACTTGGGAGGAAAGGCAGGAGGATTGGGAGTTTAAGACCAGCCTGGACTATATAAACATGGTGGGCTCAAGGCCACACTGAGATATATATAGTGAAACCCTGATTAAAAAAAAAATCCCCAAAATAGCTGGATGCTGTTAGCTCATGCCTGCAATCCTAGCTACTCAGGAAGCTGAGATCTGAATCATGGTTCAAAGCCAGCTCAGGCAATAAAGTCTGTGAAACTCATAGTCCACCTAACCACCAAAAAGCCAGAAGTGGAAATGTGGCACAAATGTCAGATTGCTAGCCTCGGGCAAAAAAGCTCGGGATAGTGACCTGCTCCAGTAAAATGCAAAACCAAAAACACACAGGGGAAGAAAAAGAGAGACAAGAGAGAGATGAGAGACAAGACGACAGCGGTGAGACGAAAGATGGGGAGGGAGACAGACAGACAGACAGATTGATTCAAATGTGTCCCTGTGCCCATCAACTCAGGAAAAGGGTTGAGGGACAGGATGAAGGAGGGAAGAAGAGGAGCCAGACTTGGTTCTATCAAGACCACTCATACAAAGCTAACCTAAATTACCTCTAACACACACTTTCACTGTCTCCACACAACTCAGAGAGGTCTTCAGAGAGTAACATACACGAAAGGGTCATTATATGAAAATGAAAGTCTCCAGTGAGCATTTTATTAAGTCTTTAAAGGAAAAAAAAATCCAGAAAATGTCAGATCCCTAACCAACATCTATTTCATTACATTTCTACTATTTTGACAACATAAAGACATTCACCCTTTACACAGTGATGGAGTGGAATCTAGCATGAGTTTAATGTAGCACTACTCCCGGCCTCTCTTCCAACAACAGAAGACACATTACCTGGAGTCAGAAGAGCTTTTCCACAGACGTCTCCAACTGCATAGATGCCCTTGACATTGGTATTCTGGAATTCATCTACAATGATATGACCTTTCTCATCAGTTTTAATCCCCTGAAATTATGAAAGGACATATTATAGATACTGAGCCCATCTACTAAAAATGTCACATTAAACCTCTAAATCTGCTACACTGTGGCACACCTTCAATCCAAACATCCCTAAGTCTATCTTTGGCCTAATGTAAAGGGTCAAATATTTAACAGAACTTTGAGAATTTAACAGGATTTGACACTGCAATATATAATTCATCTGGTCAGAAAACATGAAATAATTGGATTATTGTACATACTACTGACTAACTCTATGGGTTTTTTTGGTTGTGAATTTCTGTGTTTCCATGGAAGTTATTTCTCTTGAAGCAAGTTAACCCTTGTATGTATGAGGATTTTTTTTATCAATGTCATTTTATTTATTTGCAGGATAGGGATTTGAAATCAGTGTCTCACACAGGAGTGGGCTGCTTACTTGCTCAACTGGCACTCTACCACTTGATCCCTGGGCTCAACCCTACCTTTTTGCTGGTTATTTTGGAGATGGAGTCTCCTGAACTTTCCTGCTCTGGCTAGCTTCAAGCCAAGATCCTCCAGATCTCAGTCTTTTGAGTTGATAGGATTATAGCCCATGAGCCACTGGTGCCCCGGTCCATGTAATTTTATAATATCATTTATGGGCCATAAAAAAATTAACATGAGCAGCTGAAGAGAAGCACTCGAAAAACAGAAATGCCTGTCCCATCATATAACAAATTACTTCACAGCCGTTAGACAGCCCACAGACCAGATGTCTCCTACCACTGAGGGACACAACATGGCCTAAAGGAGCCACCAAAGACAGACTCCTTTGAAGTTTACTATTTATTATTTTTAAAACTCAAGTAAAGTGTCCATTGTGACCTAAAACATTAAAAAAAAAAAAAGAGTGGCTGGGAATGTGGCTTAGTGGTAGTATGTTTGCCTAGCATGCATGAAGCCTTGGGTGTGATTCCTCACTACTACATAAACAGAAAAAGCCAGAAGTGGTGCTGTGGCTCAAGTGGTAGAGTGCCAGCTTTGAGCAAAAGAAGCTGAGGGACAGTGCCCAGGCCCTGAGTTCAAGACCCAAGACTGGAAAAAAGAAGTAAGATAAAACATACTGATGTTTCTCAAAATCAGAATTGTTTTCTTACGTGCGGAGTCATTTTTGCTTTGAGATATGTTATGCTTACCTTGTCTCTTAGATATAGTGTAGTGTAAGAAGCTGAAATAAGCAGAAGAAAGAAGCATAGTGGCTTATGTAGAGCAGCACAGTAATTTGGAATACAACTTGGGGGACTGGGAATATGGCTTAGAGGTAGAGTGCTTAACTAGCACGCATGAAGCTCTGGGTTCAATTCCTCAGTACCACATAAACAGGAAAAACCAGAAGTGGTGCTGTGGCTCAAGTGGTAGAGTAGCTAGCCTTGAGCAAAAGAAGCTCAAGGACAGTGTCCAGGTCCTGAGTTCAAGCCCCAGGACTGGCCAAACCCCCCCCCCAAAAAAAAAACAAACCAACTTTGGGCTGGGTGCTGGTGGTTCAGACTTGTGATCTCAGCTAGTCATGAGCCTGAGATCTGATTATTGCCAGCCCAAGAGACTCAATTAACCACCTAAAGTAGAGGAGATGTTGCTCAAGTGGTAGAATGCCAGCCTTGAGTGAAACAGCTAAGGGACAGTGCCCAGGCCCTGAGTTCAAGCTCTAGTACTGGCAAAAAATAAAATAAATTAAAAACTGAACAAACAGGGCTGGGAAGGTGGCTCAGTGGTAGAGAGCTTGCCTTGCATGCATGAGGCCCTGGGTTCCATTCCTCAGCACCACATAAGCAAAAAGTAAAAAAAGCCAGAAGTGGCGCTGTGGCTCAAGTGGTAGAGCCCTAGCCTTGAGCTGAAGAGCTGAGGGACAGCGCCCAGGCCCAGAGTTCAGACCCCACGACTGGA